GCTCTTTTTTGCTAAACAAAAACAGGATGTGTAATAGTCTTACACGCTGTACCTCATACCTCAACACAATAGACCAAATCTGGAACAATTAATGTGTTAAATAATATATTTTTTGCTCAGCTGAGTGGGAATGAAGTAGTCGTTATATAGATTTTTTTATGTTAATCTGCTCAGAGTTTACAGCAGTTTCACACAGAATTTTCAGCAGAAGTGTTTGACATTGTTTTACATTACTTAGTTCTCATTTTTGTTGTTTTTATCATTCACAGAATCATATTTTACGTGTGTTTTTGTTTTATGCCCTTGTCTTCCAAGGTTTCTACATGTACATTGAGACATCAAGACCCCGTAAGGAAGGCGACCAGGCACGGCTCATAAGTCCCTTATTCAACGTGGCTCCAAAAAACCCCTACGGCATCAACAACCCACCTGCCTACTGCTTTGGCTTCTTTTACCACATGTATGGAAAACACATAGGTAAGGCTTGTTTCTCAACATAATCCTCATCTTGTGTGACAAATCTGTTTTAAAACAACTAGAAATTCAGGAAGCAAAACTATGTTCTGTGACCCTTTGTTGAGATTACCTCCGATCTGTTCTTTTGATTACCAGAGCTGCAAAAATGACACTCAAGATGAATTTATACTGTACACRGTTAAAACACAGCTCATTTTAATTACAAAACTCAACATACCACAAAGTATTTCAGAGTTTTCGTTCTGGTTTTGAAAACATAAACTCTCACATGAAATTTGTGTCAACTTCGTGGTTCACGGAGGAGCGTTCATTTTTATAAGAAAAACTATTTGTAAGAAAAAGCCCTGCAACATTACCACTGAGGAAAAAGAGCAAAAGTACCTTTTTTTATTGGTATGTTTCTTTCAGTTCGAGGGTTATTCCCCATGGAAGATGCAAGTTGGAGATTTGAGCTTTCAAGCTAAAATTTAGTAAGTGCAGCTGACAGATGTTACAGGCAAAAGATATCTCATTTTTGCAACAAACCCCCTTCAGAGGTCTGCACACAGATCCTGGGCATTAGCTCTTACATTCATCTCTGAACGTAGATAACAACCCTGTATGGCCCATTTGAAGATAGCAGAGTGGCTGAAGGAGCACTCTGCAGCTTACGAGTGACTCTCTTCACCGGGGACCCAATCAGTCGACCACAAGCACTCTCACTCTGAGTACATGCTGTTTGTAGTGCTTGTGCATTCAGGAGTTGTGAGTAAGACTCGGTTTGTGGCTGCAAAACAGACACTTATACTTTGTTGAAGGCTTTTTTTTTTTTTTTTTTGGTGCTGAAATCTCTGTCTCAGGTTCACCTCTTATCATTACAGCACCTGTTAGAAGGCAGGTGAGAAGCCGTTCAAAACACTACAGCTCTTTACATAATAAATGATTTGTTCAGCGCCGTTCCACCCACGCAAMGCAATTTGCACTTTAATGAAAAGATTATAGAGAGAAACAGAAAGGGAGCAGCGTGTTATGTAAAAATATCCAAACTGAACTCGAGTGCACGTGGGACGCATGTCACAGCAACGAGCTGCAAAGACAAGTTGCACCACAGTAAACGTTGTGGGCTCTTCAGCAGCTCAAAGTTCAGTTCACAAAGAACTTAAGTCGCAGCCTGGCAAGGAACACATTCATTTATAAATGTTTTTTGAGCTAAAGCCAACAAAAAATGTAAATGTTAGTAGATGGTGACTTGTTGATTAGCTTATCTGTAGCTTCACCTTGTATTTGCATTCTGCTTTAATTAAGCATCTTTAGATCTGTTTGCATGTCTCCAGCTTTCTGTGATCCCCTGCATCATATTATGGGTAAATTTTAACTAAAGCGGCCTACTATTTGCATATTTTTTGTTCTGTTTTGTTGCTAGAAAGTGAACATAGTCTCAGAATTTTGACTGAAAGGTGGCCAAATAAACCGTTTTAAACTGGGTCCCTTACATAGAAATATGATGCTCTGATTAAATCGGTAAAGCACAATTATGCAGCGCCCCTACTAAACAGATGCTGTTATTTTACAGAGCTAACGTAAATAAAAAAAATCTGAGTGAAACATTAGAAGTGGCATATTGTCTCATGTAGCTAAATTTCCGGGTTCAGTCCAGGCTTTGTGACAAGAAACGGCGGAAGACTCGAAGCTGCAAACAAATTGACACAAATTTTATCACAAAGAGCTGATTTCTGCAGTTCCAATGGAGCATACTGGGCACTGTAAGCTCCCATTGGAGCTAGTTTCTGCAGAATGCATACATAACTGGACATAATTTGCATAAGCTTTGTGCTGGTAAGGTAAGGAAAAGGTAAGGTATTCATTTTTAACAGATCCAAATAAAGATAGTGAGTGTGTAAAAGCAAGCTTTTTTTGTACATGAATGTTCACCGAGTWCACTGTTGAAAAAAATGTTTGTCACCAGAATAAGCTCAATTTAAGTTTGAAGTTTACATAACATATAACTATAATTTGAGTGTTTTTGACCACAACACTGAGCAAAGTTTTATGCTAAAAAGTTGTTATTTACTGCTAATTGATTTTAGCAACAAAAAAAATCAAAGATTCTGCTTTTAAAGATTAAAGATTTGACCAGAAAGCAATAGCAGTGAACTAACATGTTGGAGCTCACAACCTGACATAAAGCCTGCGTCAGGTCCAACCTTTAACCAGTCTGCTGTTTGGGGTTTCCTCAGAGGAGCTGCAGAGGGAAGGTGCCTTGGTAAGTGGGCTTGGTCCAAACATCTGGAGAGGTGCACACGAGGGCGTTCAGGAGAATCTAWGGATAGAGGTGTTGCAGGGCGACTCAGCGGGGATGATGAGAGCTCCTCTGGCTCCCTGCTGAGGTTGAGTAGGCCGTGACATTTCCAATTTGCTCAAATTGATCGCCAGCCAGACCTTCTCTTCGCTGCCCTCCCTGGCCGTGGTGAAATCCATGCCCAGACTGTGGGGCGGTATGATGAATGGGCTAAATGTCAAGGACTAAAAACCCAGCTCAGACCATCCATAGCTTTGCTCTGTTTACTCTACTGTCTCTCTGTGGCCATGAGAGAATAGAGACTCTTGCCTATTTTCACTCAGTGTGATTTATGATCACTTAAATGTTATGTGTTAATATTGAACTTTTTAAATGGTTGAGAACATTTGTGTGTGTGTTTGGAGTTGTGACTCATAGCCCCATTAGATGTGGTGCAGCTCCATCCTCAAATTCTGGTTTGACACTCTGTGGGTGTGTGCTGTCGAGAGGGCAGTCAGAGCCAAGCCACGGTGCAACAGTGCTGGGGAAACAAACACAAAAAAAACAGATTCAGTCAATAGGAAAAAATCGCCTACACACCGACGAGAACAGCAGCAGATCCTCAAAGAAACTCCTCCGTAGTTCGCTTGGAGGGAGCTACCTGAGACAAGGTCATACTCAATTACTGCAWTGCACATCAAAGTTTGACTTTGGAGCCCACGTTGGATTTGTTTATAGGATTAAGACTCCAGCAAAAGCACACCGAGTACGTCTGTTCTAAGCCTGACCTTTTTAGTCGTAATTTTATCAGCAAGCACGGCGGTACTGCACCTTAATGCCCCTGTCTCCTGTCCTCCCTGCATAATTAAACATTTCCAGGAGCTAGCTCTCACTTTTCACCACACTTCACATCTTTTTGCCTCCTAAGATCTTTTGGAGTTTCACAAGTGTCTGCCAAAAGGGGGGGGGGGGACGACTCCAAAGAATGTACACAGCATATGCCTTTGCTCAGGATGTGATGACACTGACGTTACCACCAACATCGCATTGAGTTCAAAGAAGAAGCAAGGCTGCAAGCTCAGCAGGAATCCTCCTCCATTCTAAACACTTCAACAGGAGATGAAACCGCAGGTCATGTTCAGTACAGGAGCTCATCTTTCACGCTGGATTGTGCTGTCGTCGGGGAAAGCGTGTGCAGTGCTGATGAACACTGACATACAAGTGTAGCTTCTCCCCATATCCTCACACAAATGKTTTTTTTTCTTTTGCAGGGAGGTTAAACGGTAATGAGACACCTCGCTGAGGCAAAGACACATTAAAACACAAAACTGCTGCTGCTTTTTGATTTTTGCCCACCAGTTGCATCAATGAAGATGGGCTACTTCCCTCACTTGATATGCTTCATCACTGAATTTCACTTGACATTAGAGGAGGGTTCCTGCTGAGCTTTGCAACTGTGTTAATGCTAACCTGATTTAGTTCTTATTTAGATGCTACTCCGGCTTCAAAGGGATTTTACACTTTGTCTTACATGTAACCTTTCTGCATGTCTAAATAAATAAAGGGCCTAACTGGGTTGTTTTACAAGGTGGTTGCTCTCAGTGTCATCATCCTACTGTCTCACATCCAAGCCAGTTGCCCAAAAAACGTGTTGATAAAGGAAGTCGTTAATTCAATCCTGTTCAGATGGATGGATARAATGAATTCAGTGTAGATCTGTCATTTTATAAATTTTAATATAGGAAAATTTGGTAACACTTTAACACATATACTGTAACATATGTACATATAACACATAAAACATACTCTTTCTACATCAGAGGACAGAAAAGTACAAGCTGGTTACTAACTGGTGACTAATACTAAAATAAACATGAATAGTCTTCACTTTAGAAGGATTCACAAAAACACTTAACTAACTACTAACACCTGCCTTAATTACTGATGCACTGCAGGAATAGTAGATAGTCAATTAAAACATTCTCTAACCAATAATACATGTCTTAACACATGGTGTGAAAGTATGTTTACATGAGCATTTGCAAATATATATATAGTTTATAGAATAGTTAACTCCTGAGTTATTAAGCATGATTAAACAAAGAGTATGTTAATTTTAGAAGTAATTAGCATTTATGGGTAAAACATTAATAAATGTGTTAATTCATAGCTTATTAAGTCTGAATCACCCTTAATTAAATATGTTTTCAAGGTTAAGTAACCCTTTATTAATGATTAATTAAGGCTAAATAAAGTGTACTTATTATAAAGTGTTACCAAAAATTTGATCGTATCTTTTGTTTAACCATTCTGCTGTCTTTGGGGCAACATGGCTGCTAAAGCTTCAGGTTTAGAACAAAGGACTTTAGGGGTCATTTTGATCCAAAGAAAGCAGGACTGTTAAAATGGTATTTTACTGTGCTGCAGCTTGTTGACAAACAGCATTCATTCAGGAGGCTCCCACATCTCTCCAGCACCCACTTTGAATGTTATCAGTCCATTAAATGGCCCTTATTAGCTATTATCAGTCCCATGCCTTGGCTTCATACTGCCCTCCCTGTTTCTCCCAGTAGGCTGATAGGCACTTATCTACCATTGTTATGCCTGATTATGCATTTAGGCTCAATGGGTTCAGCTCCTCCCCCAGGCCGTGAAGCTCTGATCAAGTGGTTGGCCCAGCTCTCTGTCAAACTTTGACTGAGGGAAGGCACTCAGTCTGGTCAGGTCAAATTTTCGAAAAATGGAGCTCACAGCTCAGATGAGCTCAAATGCTCACTTGGTTACAAACACTAAATCCAGTGACACTGAATTTTCTTTTCCCATTCACTTTAGCTTTCTTTTAACCTGAACTAAATTTCCCCCAAAGCTAGACTTTAAATTTCTGGGTTTGCTCAGAAACAATTCAAACTTTAATGCGTTAAACTTTTCCTGAGACTTTTGTCTGTTTTTAACGCTAGAAATTTGTTTTATTTGAGACGGGATAATTCTTAATCTCCTAAAAACAAAGTCCAGCTCTTAAACCAGCTGTGCGATTTGGCTCAAACATCTGTCAGAAAAGGGCAATAGAACCTTTTGAAATTTTCATCAAAATCCAAGGTAAATTTTTATAAATATTTCACAAACAGCAGAGCCCAGCAACTGTTCCGTAAATACTCCCCTGTCCCATCGACACAGAAACAGAGTATATATTCAGGAACTGCGGGGGGTTGTGGGAAGTGTTGCTCAGAAAGTGCTTAAAGTGTTTTTTGCTTACCAAAATCAAAATATCTCACAAAAATGGCTCATAATCAAGTATGTTGTGCAGTTTTAGCCCCTCTATCAGGAAGAATTTGTCCCAAGTTTGTAGCACTCTCTTAAAGGTTTATTAATTAATTTTCTTAATTTTCAAAAACTGGAGCTCACAGCTCGTTGGTCACTTGGTCACAAACACTAAGTCCAGAGAGACTACAGCAAAATGCATGATGAATTTTCTTTTCCCATTCACTTTAGCTTTCTTTTAACTTGAACTAAAATTTTCCCGAAGCTAGCAGCGACTGTTAAGAGTCGACTTTGTKACCCAGAAAGTGTAGTTTCCGATTCATCGAGTCATCTCTCAACAGTTGCAGATCTGTGAGATAAAACCATTAGCTTCAGAGAGAATTTAGTCCAGGTTAACAGAAAGCTGAACTGAGTGGGATAACTTTGATACTAATGAGGAATTTAGAAGCACTGTCCTCCACGGGGAACTTATATGTATTCATCAAATTTTCTCAACGCGCATTGCTCATAAATGCTAATTAATCTGGATTATCATTAGCCGCAGAATAATTTAAAATCCCCCGACCTGAATTTAACCTTTGCCACTGCTTGGCTTTCCTTGGTGTGCAGGGAAATATAAATATTTGAAATGGCAAGAAACTAAAGGGGATATCATCCTTCAAGCCTAATTTATTTTGAAACAAAACTTGAATTCACAATCGTGTCTGACTGTGGGTGGCACGAAGGAGCTGAACGTGTTAAAGCTGGGGCAAAGAAGATTGGTCAAGATTTACCTCACACAATCTATCTAATCCTTGTCTTTGAACGCCGCTGACTAATCCTCCCCTACCATAATGCTGCCACTGCCATGCTTCATTATAGGAGGGTTTTATGATTAGGTAGTGACTTGGCTCTTTGAAGGTTGTGTAGGCAGCTCTAAAAGCAGTGACGGATGAGATGCTGATCACTTCAGAGAACTTTTTGAGCTTGTGAGTTTTTCTTCAGTTAATAGTTTTGGCAAGACAATCAACAATGAGATCTCAGCTGGTGGTACAAAATGTTCTCCACTTTACAAACACTGGAGCTGCTTTGCCTCTGGGAACAATAAAAAGTGAAAACTGTTACCTGGGAACAATTTTATCTTTCAGGTCCGGAGAGAGTTTCTCTGTCTTCGTGGCTTGATTTTTGCCTGTCACACAGCGTGATTTGTGGAGCAGTTCCTGTGTGTCTCTAAGCCCGGTGCAGCAGTGTCAGGTGGTGGATGAAACAAATTGTTCAGCTTAAAGGTCTGGAGGTGAAGGATCGTGGACCGCATGTAGCTCAGGAAATAAAAGTACTCTTGAGTTAGTTTTTGTTACTTAGTGACGTTTGTGTTTTGACACTTTTGTTCGGATCCTAACTGTATTGTGTTCTACAAGGAGAATTGACATCTTTTTTAAATAGGCAGGTAGTCTTGAAAGGAAAGGGAACAGCTTTTAAGATCCATCACATAAAATTGATTTTTGTACCTGTTTTTCTTCTTTTCTTTGACTTTTCAAACTGGATAACAGCAGGTTTACAGCACGTCAGGGATGGGCTACATAAACGATGGAAGGGGACGCATTTTTTTCTTGGCCCTACAAGAGGGCCACATAGTGCTGCATGATTACGTCAATGTAATAAAATTTCCATTTTGTGTGTATACACTTTATATAGACAGTATATACTTATAAACTGTTCATGACCAACACTGGATGCATTGGTTACATTTAGTTTTGTTGAACAGCAAGATGCTGCAAGTACTAATGTTGTCTGTCTCTCACTGATGCAGGAACACTTAATGCCTTGCTAAAACAGAAGGGCCAAATGACCTCYGAAGCTCCTGTGTGGTCTCTAAGTGGCAACCAAGGTGACCGGTGGAAACAGGCCAAAGTAAGCATCCATCCCACGTCGTCCTTCCAGGTAAGACATAAAGTGCAAAAAAAAAAGAATAAGCAGTGGCTACATTCTCCTTGTCTTCCTCTGTTTTCCTTCATGTCTGTGTTTGTAAAGTTTGTTACTTATGGAGCTGCATACTGATGTCATACTTTAGTTTGTAAAGTTTATTCATTTAAAACAAAACAACATAAAGTCGACATACAACAAAACACAGATCACAAATTAAATGAAAGGTAGCAGAAGAAGAAAGAATCTTGTGATTTCTGCCCCTTTTTCACAAATAGATGAATTCAAACAAAATAGTCTTCAATTTACAAAAAACATAAATAATAATTTCATTTAAAAAAATAAAACTAATTTTACATACAACACAATATCAAAAATAAAATGCAAGGCAGCAGAAAGAAGGAAAAATCCTWCAGTATCTACCCCTTTTTAGGAAAAAGATAAAATAAACAAATTAGTCATTGAGTAATAAAAACAGAGCAAAACAAAACAATAATCCTCAAACAAAATTTATTTGAGTACATGTTATTCTTTTGCATATTTCTTCAACAAACCAATTTTAATCATTCTCTTAAACATAAACATTGATCTGGCATTTTTAACAGCACTTTCCAGATTATTCCATAATCTTATTCCCTGAATTGACGTTCACCGTTCCTTCAAACTGGTTTGAAATTTAGGCTTCACAAACATCTCAATCCCCTTAAGATTAGAACAGCTCTCTCTTTTATCAAAACTTGACTGAATATTTACAGGTAATATGTTTTTATGAGCCTTATTATAATCAACCAACTGATGAAATTTCAATCATTTCAGCTGACAAAACATCTTTGTTGGATGACTAAAAGTTTTCTGGTTATAATTCTTACAGGAAAATAGGATTTGATTGGATACTTTACACGCTGCATCCTTCAGATCATTTTTGCTACTTTTCTTTGTCGTAATGTCAGCAAATAGAGAACTGCGGAGCTTACTTTTATTTTGTGACAGTAGACATCAAAGCAAACTCTTGCCACCTGCTGTAATATTTTGAAAAGGGCAATTAAACTAAATTACAACATGTTGTGTCTTTGATTTTTCTTGATTGCAAATATTGTTTTTGTTTATTGTGTGGAGCATTGAGGCTAAATTTATCAAATAAATGTCTCTTAGGTTGTTCTGGAAGGTGTCCGGGGCCCGGGAATAGAAGGAGACATYGCTATTGATGACATCACTCTGGAGGAAGGGGAGTGTCGAGACCCACCGCCCAGTAAGCAACACAACACCTCATCCTCTTTTATTCTTATCCAAGCTGCAGGCGTTAAGTTTTTGTTCACCTCGTCAGACACGTCTCGTCACATACAGTTGGCAGGACCAAAGCTAGCATCTCACAGAGAAACTAAAATCACGGTTGTCATAGCAACAAGGTTGTAATCACATGAAAGATGGCCACGCTGCTGGCTGAGAGGAGCCCAGTAATTGCGCCTCAGAAAACACAGAAGGCAAAAACTGAAAAACGACCCACAGAAGATGGCCTGCAATTGACAAGGTCATATTGTTAGGCAGACAAATGCCGCTTCTTTGATTTCATTCTTGTTATTTACGATTGGAGGGAGATAGTTTCCAGAAGCCTTTTTCAGCATTCCAGAAACGAAACAGGGCTATCTGTTTTAATTATTTACAACAGTGATGGGAACTGATCCGAGACGATGACGGTGGAGTGCAAGATATATTGTTTGTTTTTATTATTCTTATAGTTATCTTTCATTTGGACCCATAAAGATCCTTAATGATTAACTCCTTGGGAGGTAAAAGAACAGTAGCCCAGACTGAGGACAGAGGATTATGAATTATGGATTTCAATCTAGTTTGATGAATCTTACATGACTTTAGCTGATGCAGGAGGGACCATTGAGAAATATCTCAGAGGTGAAATCTTACAGATGCTACCCAAGATGAGAAGTTCAGAGAAGCGGTTTAAGAAAACAGGTTTTGTGAGAAGGAAATAGTTTAATGTGTCTCATATTTCCTTTCCTTTGCAGAATGGGATGAGAGGATCAGTTACTGTTCTGTTTGCACTACTCTTGAGCAGTATGACATATTATGCAGTATTGTAGCGACGGTATTAGTGAAGTAAGTTGATGCACCAAATTTCCACAAGGCTGCTATGAAAACATCAACATTTTAGGCTGTTTCAGAAGATGTCCCATAACATTACTGACGTGTTCTGACCACCTCGGTCAACCTCTATGCTAGATAGTGACAGAAACGTTACTTGCCGACCCATAAAAAGCTGGGCCTGCTGGGGTTGTCTGATACCTTCAGGGACCACTGGTGTCTTAAGTTTTCTTACCGCACCTCTCTCGATCCCACGTTGATTGTTTAATCAAAAGCACGATTGAGCTCGGTAACAGAATGTCTTTGTCTGTGACTTCTGAAGTGCCAAAGGGAGCGTCAACATGTCATGGGGCTGTTCAACCATTTAGCAGTACTTTTTGTGAAAGAGCTTTCTATGAAGCCATTTCAGATCTTTACTGGCTCTAGAATGTCAAGCTACATGCATGTAGTAAATGCTTACWAGCAGCTGTTTCTCTGTTAATTATTAATTACTCAACACACCACAAACCAAAACATACCATACAATACCACAATATTATCTWAAAATAACACCTCGATATGAAAAAGATCCATATTGCCCAACCCTTGTACGCGTGGTGACTCAGCATTTTAGTAGCTTTCTCTTGTTCAATAGCTAATATGCCACGGACTTCCGATTCTAGCACTTATGTATTTTTTAACCAGTCTTCTGGTTCGCWGTCAACACTGTGTTAGCAAAAGATTTTTTCACTCAACAACGACTGTTAATGATCTTCACAGTACAGAATTAGCATATTACATGAACCAACACTAACACAGGAGACGTACAGGTTCAGCCAAGTGGAAAAAAAATCACTCCAAAGTGGATTAAAGCCATAAAAACAAAGGAAAGACGTTTGTGTTTATGTTCCAGAATTTAGCCTTTTTCGCTATTCTGTGGCTGCTTTTTCCATGAATTTTTCATGTAGAGCTGTGACACTTATATTGTTGGAAAGAGCAGAGTCTTTCCCTTTTGTAACCTCCGTCTTTTCATTTCTGATGCTGGCTCTTGAACATCCTCAGGTTAGAAATGCCGATTACAAACGCGAGCATGAGCTTTTGTAGCTAAGTTTTCCCTGTAACGCTATGATCCTCTGCTGTCAACTTTCCTCCTCATCAAGAGGAAAAAGGAGAAAAACTAACAACTCGATCATACTTGCTGCTTAGTGGACACAACGGCACACAACAGAACTCACGTTTTTTATCAGTAGCTCACAGATGCTTTAACTTTTGTGATTTTTTCACGGACTAGTTCAAGGAGCCAACGCTAAAAACAAATGCAGTAAGCAGGAAGTGGAAGAGAGGTGCGGGGCTGGAATTTTAACTGAAATACGTCATTAATGGCYGTGGCATATAGGCTATTAYTGGGTAACAAAAAGATTGACTACAGACTTATTATTTATAATACAAAATTGGTTGTTGAGTTTGTAGTTGAGTTGTGTTAGCGGGCAACAGACAGTTTGCATTTCCCCTCAGCAGACATTCTCAATCAGCACACATGCAGCTCAGTCAAACCTGTGCTTTAGATTTATAGAGCAAATCAATATAATTGAGTTACAAGAAAATCAATATGTTTTAATTTCATTTTATTTCTGTCATCGATGCTAATCAAATGACTTCATGTTCATGTTATTTTTTTTTACACAAGCCAACTTTTTTTCTTCTTCCCGTCTCTTATTCAGATATCAGTGCCAACGCCCTGTCCACGTCCTCCCATATATGGCTGCTATGCACCACCTTGGTGCTGACCCTCCTGGAAGGCCAGAGGTGACCCTTTTCTTCGTCAGTCCGAGGCAAAAACTCAGACCCGCCGTCTGTGAGCTATACCCTCAGCATCCGATCACCAAAGATTCATGCATACAGAAAGCATCAGGGTCCCTGGACGGATCCCTGACCACAGGGGGGGGGATGACGTCTTATGAAAGAGAGATTAACCATAAAGTAATAAAGAAGACGTGCCAACTTTTATTTTGAAGAGACCTCTTTTCTGTCAAAAGCTCCTCGGCGCAGGAACCTGGAATGACTTCACGAGCACAATAAAAAAGGGCAATGAATCAGCCTGGACTTCGGCGGAGGAGTTCGCACGCGCAGAAGGAGGACAGTTTGTAAAGCACAAGTCTCGTTTTATGAAGATAATGGGGAAAAAAACTTTTGAGTGGCAGCAAGATGCAGACACTGCTGACTTTTTTTTAATATGAAGTAACTTTTTCCCCCTGCTTCCAAATCCGTAGAATCAAACCTTTTCTCTGTGCATCTTTATCTTCATTTTCTTGCCCTAGGTGCCAATCAGCAACAGTTGTTTCCCCCACACACACTCTAGCCCAGCCTCACATTCACAGTCATTCTCGTTGGCATTTCTWTATCTGCTTGGTGCTGTTCTGTAGAGAAAAAAAACATGGACTTTGGCAACATTTAATTCTGTTTGCTTATCCCCCCACTCCCTGTAGCTGCCTCTTTTAACACTGTGCTCACGAGTCCAAGTGGCCAAGCGACAGGACGGTGGCAGAAGAAGAAAAGCAAACGAAGTGAATTCGAATCAAGCTCAGGTGGGAAAATGAAGAGCGTTGGGAAGAAGGAGCGGGCAGAGAGTTGAGACAGATCCGTCTAGCGGAGCCTGACTCAGATACTCCGTCAGCGGTCTGCCCGCGGAACCGAAGCCACTTTACTTTCTGCCATGAAACAAAGTGCCTTCAGATTACAAACCGAGTCGTGAGCCTGGGTGTTAATCAGCATCGAACAAGTTTCTGTTCATGTTCCCTTCGATGGGCTATTTTCTACGTTTCTTTTGTCCCACAAGTGCTGAAGGGAGCGTGTCCGGAGGGCTCGAGCAGATCGAATTCATGGAACAGCTGCCTGGGACGCTGGGCAAAATGTGTGTCTGTTTGCATAAATCTTCACATTAATGTTCTTTAATGTGAGGAAGCCAACCAGGCAGCACGGACCGTGGGTCTGAGTGCAACGTGGACAAACAGAAACAGTGAGGCTGAGGTGGTTTTTGTTTTTTTTTTTCTTTCTAGACGGCAGTTTAAAAATCATTTCATCCTTCTCTCTTTTCATAATTCCCCTTCCCTGTGGGCGAGCTTCTTTTTTTTTTTTTTGTTTTTTTGTTAACAAACAAGAACATCCACTGCTGAATAAAACATTGTACAGGAAGGAGAGCAGAAACTTCAGGACTCCAGGCTCTTCATGTGGGTGGGACGCCTCACCCGGATCCGCAAACATTTATACGGAACAATATTAAAAATAAAAAACAAAAATGAAAAAAAGGATAATGACCATAATAATAGTCAAAATATTTTATTATTCTAGCGAGAATGTTTCTCTGCTTTTACACAAACTGTGAAGATTGACTGTGGAAGATCTACCTGAGACCATAACCTTAACCAGCGGGGTTTTTCAAAATAAAATGTATTGTAAACAAAACAAAAAAAAGAGAGAGAGAGAAAATAAGACTATAATGAATTCTGTTCATTGTTGGTTATGACAAATGTTTTAAAGACTTGTGTCTTGTTTATTTTATTTTATTTTTTAAAGCTGACTTCTCTTTGTTTCTCTTCTTGTTGTCTCCCTTTGCATCGCTGAAATATCAAAGCTGATGGAAGCATAAGAAGTAAAACCAATTTGGTAAATGTATAACTTGTAAATGTTAAAGAAGCTCTATTCAAAGGTTTATGATAAATGTTTTATGTTGGAGTACAGGAAGCACAACATAACAGTTTAAAGGCCTCATATTCATTTCTCTTTGTGGTCACATGTGGGACCTACTCTCACAGATTCAGGCTTTTTTTTTCCAACCCAGCAAGACGGTTCCCCATTTTTCTATTTCTATTCTTCCTATTTATGATGCAAATGCAATCTTAAACTACACTAAGGTTATCCAGCCAGCCGAAACAAAAATCTCCATGAAAGAAGGCAGGATGTTGTGGTTCAGCGTACAGTATGTAGCCTCCTTAGCAAAAGCCTGGATTAGTCTGAGTAGGGAGGTGTGTGTACATGTGTGAGCATAAAGCTGTGTACAATAGTTGTGACAAGAAAACTGATCCGTGTAAAGAAGACAAATACATGAAGCAAAACAGAGCAGAATGATGAGCGTTTCAGGGCATCCGTGCAAACCCCTGTTTCAGGTTTGCATGATGTCATCAGAAAAACAAAATCATCCATGAGTTGCTTTCTGTCTTTTTTTTTTAATAAGATCAGTCAGGTTCAAGTTACAAATCACGTTGAATGTAAACTGACTTCTCAACCTTACAGTCTTACTAAATGTGATGTTTTACTAAATCTTTTTTTCTGTGTGCTTTTGATGCCAATGTTCAGTCTTTTCTACGTTTCGTTGGACTCTAAGAATAAAAGGTCGGTTTGACTTTAAACCCCTCCACCTTCCAGATAAACGGAACAAATAAAAGTTCAGTAAAATATTTAACTAGCTGCTCTGTCCTCCTGTGGTACAGCAGACAAGAAAAGGTGCCAAAGCTTTCATCATTCATCACTGTTAAGTGTGGATTTACATTTATTAAAACATTATCCCACAAACATCGKATCAGTTCATGTTGAGAGCATACTTTAGGCTCGACGCATTATCGCCTCAAAGGTGCAAAAATAACATCAACTGAGTCTCTTATTGAAGCTACAACCACTTTAAAATGTATCCAACAGTTATAGGAACTGCAAAACACGACCTCCAAAACTTGTATAGTTTATAGATAGGATTATTGATTCATCTGTAAACACTTTATAAATCATTAATAAATGTTTATTATGGATTAATTAAGGACAGGAAAGAGACAAAACTGTCTGGTTTCTCGCCTAATAGTGAGCCAAATCTGTTTGTGTACATATTACTAGGTTTATAAGCACAATTATGTATTGGAAACACATATTTAAAAAATAATATTGAACTATGTTAACTTATACATATTAACTGTCAAAGGGAGCCTTATTTTAAAATGTAAGACAGTAGGTACACTATTTATTAA